GATTTGTGTGTTATGGTGCGTGCTGCTATATCCTTATACTTGGAGCGAGTGCTAGATGTGGGGATACATTCACTAAGGTGAGAGTACAGCGAGTGAGATGGGTCTAGAAGTATTCTGGTAGAAAGTTTCTGGCAAGCCCCAAACTGCTGTGAATTTATCAACAGCACAACATGCTCGCGAGATATACTACTGTATCGACATGAGTTTGATGGATGTACGTATGAGTTTGAAGTCATTGATTAAAAGACCCGGAAAATAACGGAGGATGTATAAAACTAGTAGAAAAGTATATAAGAGAAAAAAAAAGCTTTATCAGGTGAGTTGAGATAGATAGCATTTTCAAATGAATAATGTAAAAATTGAGTTTTTTGATTTCGCGAAATATCTCGACGACATGAGGTGACCAAGAAATACTGCGGATAATGGTGACCCTAAGATATTCGACGGAACATGCTATGGAAACTTGTTCTCCATTGATAATGACATGCTGGCAACAGTTCAGCACATCAATATATTGGTCACCTTGGAGCAAAGATAATAAGACATCTTCACACTCAGAAGGTATCATTCTAAGGCTGTATTGTGAAGATCAGTCGGTGAGCAGTGAAATATTCTGCATAAGTTTGAGGTACATGGAGGAATTTGAAAACTTAATTTCATGTACAACATTATCTGCATACTTAATGAGGAAACAATCATCAAAAGCAGGCATGGAAGAAATATAGCTTGTGAAAGAAAGGGGACAAAGGATTGCAGCTTGGAAAACTCCTTGAGTGAAGGCTAAAAGTAAAAAGTTGCGGCCCCTATATTTAGTAAACTGTAATCAATGGGTGACATAATTACATAACAGATTGGTAAGCTCCGGCTGAATACCTTTCTCAGAAAGAGTGTGAAAAAGTTTGGGCCTTTCAACACTATTCAATGTGTCACTATAATCAAAGAAACATAGCCGAAGAGCTTTACATTTTTTGTCCAAGGAAGAAGAAACGTAATGATTATTAGGGATGTCAAAGCATCAATGGTTGATCTGGAACTGCGATGGTCAAATTGAGTGAGGTCAGATGCATTCGGCTGGGACATCTTCTGTAGTAAAATCTTTTCTAGGACTTTCAAACCAACAGAAGTCAAGCAATCGGGTGAAATTCAGACGTTCCCTCTTTGGGTACTGGAGTGATAGAAGCCACTCTTCCGAAGTCCAGAATGCAATGCCGAATAAAACACAGGTTAAGTAGGTCAGTGAAAACAGGGGAAAGGAAAACTGTATATTCTTTGAGCACCACAAGTGGCAGTCTATCAGGACCGCATGCTTTATTAGACTTCAGACTGATGAAAGTTTTGTATACTTCTGTTTGATCCGTAATTAAATTAACAACATTAGGAACAGAGACGACTGCTGTGCATGGAAGATAGACGTCGGTTTCAGGAGAACTGGCGATTGAGATCGTCCACGATGAAATCTGGTAGATTCTATTCAGTTTTGAGACCGCAGAACTGAAACACCATTTCCCACAACTCCTGTTGGCCTGCAGTGCATGGACATAATAGGCGTTTATTGATGATCAAGCTCTTTTCTGATTGTTTGAATAGTTCAACGTAATTCCCCAAGTGAATCCTCCTAGTTAGAAACTTCGACCTGATTGAGTGCAGTTTCAGTTGTGACATAAGATAGTCACATGAATGCTGGTGCAGATACGTCAGGCATTGTTTCTACAATATCGAACAGTGCATTCGTGTGTTGCAACACATTACATACAAGGCCGACAGAGATGGATCAAACGACCTCCAGTTATTTAAAATCACATCAAAAGGGATTGCCGATCGTTTAACACGCAAGTTTTGTGAAATAAATTATGGATTTGGTCTAATCATATGATGAATTTCGTTGTTTAAAGGGCAACTGAAGCATGAACTGGAAAGCTACGAGTCACTGGACAGCTGGTTCGACCTGGTTGGGTTACATAAACAATGTGAATCCGTGGACCTGATTGGAGATCGCACCCTGGACCTCGCAGGTAGAACGCAAGTATACCACCCTCCTCCATTTCTCTCATTTAACAAAACAGTTAGGATGGAATGTTTTCAGTCGAGTCTTAACCTTGAGTATTAGTGCTGAGAGGCGCAACGTGCGATGCCTGCATCAGGCTCGCACAAACATTGGTCAGGCGTCTTCGCATATAAGTAAAATGCAAAATAGTTTGATCAGCTGCTCACTGGTCATGTAGGTAGTATGCTTGCGTTCTTTCTGTGAGATTCCCGGTTCGATCCCCAACCGGGTCGATGTATTCGCACTGCAGATGAAATCCCATCCATTCAGTCCTTCCCAGCTTCTCAGTTCACGCTTCATTTGCTCTTTACATGACGTCAAATTCGTCAAATGATCAAACACACACGTGTCACGTGTCACACAGACAAATTTAAGTTGGATGAGTAGCCCACCCTACATCCTTGATCGGTAAGCAAAGTTTGCAATTCAATTTGTCCGAATATCATATCAAGATATCCGGGTATCATTTTAAATTGCCTGAGCCTCATTTCAAGCTGTCTTAGCATCATTTCAAGCTGTCTCATTGATCTCATCGGCACTGACAAGCCTCTCAGCGGTACCTGGAAGACGCCCATGCTGCACAGGTCTCTGTACTTCTCGCTGAAGCGGGTGGGGGGGGGGGGGNGTGAAACGTGCCTCGGTCACGCATGCCTCCATTCCCATAACATATTGGCTGTTGCAAGAAAGCATACGCGTCAATGTGTGTGTGGGTGTGTTCGTCCCTCTCCGCTGATAGCAGTGAATCATGAGTGATCACCGCTTGAACCACGGTTTACCTCCGTAGCATGATGTTGCATTAGAATTCATAAGCTACACCTCAAGCGGTTACACTGGGACACCTTTGGATTATGCTCGATCGATATACACATCAGTGTAGACCAGATTCACATCCAGTTTGTTCAAGGTATGATCCACCTCTGTGATGCCAACTCAGAAGCACCCTCAAGTACTGAACAATCAACATAACCATTTTGGCCATATATCCGGAATGAAATGAGATATCTCTATCACACCAACTGCTGTTGGGATGAGGAAACGAGCGTTGTCGAAATATGCCATAAATTTTACGGAATTTCATAAGAAAATACAAGTTCAAACAGTTGAATGTTTTCAATTATGTACTTTGCTGAGTATGGAGTCTAAATTTGATTATTTGATAATTGAGACATGCGTGGCCGAGACACGTTTTACAATCGTCCCCCCCCCGTTCAACGGGAGGTAGAGAAACCTGTGGTGCATGGGAGTCATTCAGATATTGCTGGGAGGCTAGTCAGCGCCAATGGGGTCAACGAGACAGCTTGAAATGATGCTAAGACAACTAGAAACGATACCCGGACATCTTAAACTGATATTCGGACAACTTGAAATGTAAAAGGTATAAACAATTATGTGTAACAAAAGATGCTGATCAGTCTTTATCCGTCATATTTTAGGTAGTAAATTTATTGCACATGTGTTGTACTACTTCTTACTGTCAAAGACTGGATCAACCGAAGTTTATCATTCATTTTTCATGAACACATCACAAAGAATGTTCACATTTGGAAATATTTTTTTACCTTTCTTTTTTTTCTTCGCATTTTACTTCCTTTAATTGCATATACAGTGATACAATTGTTAGGAAGAGGGAAGCGGTCCATCAAATGGCTGTCATTCAACACAACGAGGAAAGTCAGGCGATGGTGGTGGGATTCGAACACATGTCCTCCGAGGTGATAATATGGCGATGTTATCGCCCTTCCACTACCGCTGGAATGCGGCAAACATATTTTGTGTGCATGATTTTGGGTTTAGAATTTTGATTGCCTCTACTTCTGCGGTTGCCAAGTTACGTTACCGAACGTACTTCGATTGTTTGGAGGACACTTTGTAGATGGTTCTAAACGCATCGTTGTATGTCTGGTGTTCCGTATCAGCGAGTTGGGTCACAATTGCATTGGTTATTGTTTTCTTGCATCCTATGCTTGCACAAAACTGTCTTATCGTTCGTCCTATATAACTTGCCGAACATGTGCGAGTTCAGGGATACATTTTCGTGGATGACTAGAAGATATACAACTTATCCTTGAAGTTTGTGTATATCTGTAGCCAGCTTGCAAACGTCTCACGCAAAAAGGCGGCTAGATACGTTCGCGTGATTGCTTTTTCCAAACGTCTTTTTAGTAGATCACCACTCGAATCTCCTCTGAACGGGAGCTGCAAGAACAGTTCTTCCTTTTTGGCCATGATTGAAAGGAAACTCTCGGCACATCCATTATTCAGAAGTGTAGAGTTGATATTTCTTACTGAACTGTAGAAGCTTGTAGCAAACCATTCCAGTTCTCGATATATTGGGCTAAGTGTCGTTTAAACGTGATTGAGAAGAACTTTAAGAAATGAAAGTATTACCCGTTCCATTTTGGTTTGACCGCTAAATTTATCCCATGAGCCCCTTCTTGAAGCTGACATCGGGGAAGTGGAATGTATCCTGATTCTCTATTTCCGTCATAAAGCTGATCGAAGGATGAACTCGTTTAAAATGATCAAATATTGTGTTCCTGCAGTGATCTTGGTAGTAGTAGTAGTAGTAGCAGTAGTAGTAGTGGTAATATGCACAGAATTCGGAACACGAACCACAAAATAGGAATAACAGAACACGAATCAAGGATCAGCTATCACAGACTGGATCATGGAAGCACTGGACCACAAGGGCACTAGCACGCAATGTCTCACTTGACTGAGACGCGAGTAAAAAACCACAAGAAACGTAATTGGTTCATTGAAAGAGAAGAGGGCGATTAAATAATATGTATATAAGAAGAGCATTGGTTATCTAGGCTTCCACCAATCGTATTGCAGTATTGCTTGCATAATTCTGCTTCCGTCTGCACTGCACTGTCTCGGATTGGCTGGCGCGATCTGCCTATGACGTGTAGTCAGAATCTGCGACACATATGCACGTCATTAACGTCACCCTTTAAATTTGATTGATCGCAGTTGTCCAGAAACTGTAACGAGCCGCTTCAGGGTAGGCGTCATCACGTAGGCCCAGATCACAACAACTCTCCTCCCTCAAAAGAGCTTCGTCGATTTGGCTTGCTCTTCTGATTGGTCGGTGGAGTGTCAGTGGGGTATTCTCGTCGGTATACGTTCCTTGAATAGGGGGCTGCTGCTTTTGATCTTCTGTGGTTGTTGACGGCGTATTACAGGGCGGGCTTCCTTGGGTTTCTTCGGCATGGTCTTCAATCGATGTAGGAGTTTCATTGAAGTGAATCTGATCGATGTTGCCTCGGTGAACTGTCATATCTGTCAGGTCTGTGATCCCAACCATGGCTTGACTAATCTTATGCGTCATGGTTCCGTTTGATGGCCTCAGATCGTTTCCTCGGAAGCACACGACGTCACTTGAATCCACGCATCAAAGACCGTAAACTTCTGGCTTTGAACAGTTTCACTGGGCTCTCTTTGGTGATGGCATGTGCGGCATTTCGGTATTGCAGCAAGAAGTTGTCCAGGAGCATCTCCAACTGTGAAATTGTCCTTGGACTTGCTGAGGCAATGGCACTCTTCGCCGTTTTCACCAATTTTTCCGCTGCACGCTTTGACCAGGAATGACGTGGTGCTGTGCGCAGATGTCGGCAACCAATACTGTCCAGCCAAGTTTTCAACTCCGCAGCGCAGAATTGCAACCCATTATCAGTCACCAACACTTGAGGAACACCCTCTCGACTGAAACACNTTTGACCAGGAATGACGTGGTGCTGTGCGCAGATGTCGGCAACCAATACTGTCCAGCCAAGTTTTCAACTCCGCAACGCAGAATTGCGATCCATTATCAGTCACCAACAATGGTGGAACACCTTCTCGACTGAAAAACTTTCGCAGTACCCTCATCACGAACGATGTAGTTGGTGCACTGGTCAAAAATACTTCTGGCCATTTTGAGTGCGAATCGATGAGTACTAATGCTTGGTAATGACCGAGAAATGACCCACAGAAGTCAGCGTGCACGCATTGCCAAGAAATGCAGCTATCTGGTCATGGTGCCTAATTCTTCGGTTTTCACCTCTGCTTTTGTAGGCAAGCTTCGCAGTTCTTAGCAGTTCGACCAATATGCTCATCTAGTCTGGGCCACCAGCACATTAGTCATGCCAACGACTTCATCTTCTTCACCCCTAATTTGCCCTTGTGCAGATCTTCTCGCACTGCCTTGCGTAGTGGTGGTGGGATGATCAGTCGACCGTTGCGGCATAGTGTTTCATCAGGCTGGACACTGATTTCTTCACGATGCGCATAGAATTCTGGGAGCTTCCGCTTCAGGTCTCGACTCCATCCTTTTGACAGGGCTGTTAGGATCTATGGTACATCGACTTAACTCCTCTCGTGATACCGAGGCAGCAGTAGCATTGAAATGGCACTTCTTAGCCGCCGAGAATTTGGACCACAGCGAGAGAAAATCGGCTTGAAGAATTGTTTTACTTGGGTTGTGCACCATATTTTAGTCGTAGGCAGCCAATACAATGCTCCATCGCTGAATCATCGCCGCTGTTGGTTTGGAAATCAACTTTTGTGGACTGAACAAGTATTGCAGGGCTGAATGATCGACCATGATGGTAAAGCGCAATCCAAACAGGTATTTGTGCAGGCGTCGGACAGCCCAGTATACCGCCTATTCTTCTTTCTGCTTTTGCGAATATCCTTGTTCTGCCGTGTTTAATAGAATAGAAATGCAGATAATCGGATATCCTTCCTGTTCCAACTCCAACATTCGATGCATCAGTAATCAAAGTTGCATGTTTCGTCGGAGAAAACGAGGTAAGTACTCACAGTTCCGTTATTATCTGAATGATTTCCAGCAGAGTTTGTTCAAACTCGGCCGTCCATTTCCATTCTGCAGTCGACTGAGCAGCGAACAGTGGTTGAGCTTTCGTGGCCAAGTTCGGGATGAAACGCGAATAATACTGGAGACATCCTATGATGGACCGAAGTTGGTGTTGATCTCTCGGTGATTCGAGTTCAGACAATGGCCGGAAGCGACCCGGATCAGGACGGTGGCCTTTTGCATCCACTGTGAAGCCCAAGAATTTCAACTCTGGTGAACTGAACATGCATTTGGAGGCGTGAATCGACACATTCTTTTGGGAGAAACGTTCCAGTAATTTGAGAAGTCTGTCGTCATGCTCGGGCTTCGTTGTACCAACCACAATGACGTCGTCCTGATATGCCAACACACCATCGAGTCCGCGAATGACTTCGTCAATAGCTACCTGGAATATGCCGGAAGATGTGTAGAGGCCGAACGGTGGGAATTTATATTGGTATAATCCCTACGGTGTGCTGATGGTGGTGAATTGCCGGCAAGCTAGAGAGAGAGAAATCTGGAGGTACGCATCAGCCAAGTCGATCTTCGAGAAGCATGTGATACTGTGCAAATGCTTTTATGAAATCCTCTGATTCCAGGGTGCAAGCCGCACACGTCTTAACCGCAGGTTGAGTGTTAACCGGTAATCGTCACAAATCCGTGGTGTTTTGCCGTCACTTTTAATCGCAATCACGATTGGCGTTGCCCACGCACTGGATGTGACTCAGGTGATTATGCCGTCGCACTCCATTTTCTCAAAGGCCCTTCAACATGCCTTCACGTTGGTCATAGGGGATTACGCGTCGTTTCAGGAAAACGGGCTCACCGTCAACTTCCCAATTGGCCGGCTGCACGTTCATACCTCCTGTATTGTTGGAACGTTTTACGATTAGGCTCTGTAGACGGTAGTACACATTGGACGTAGTGCTCATATGGAGTGACAGAGTGGTTCAATGCACGAATGGCGGTTAAGCCAAGTATAGTTGGATTGCTTTTGGCAATTAAGAAGCGAAACCTCACCCATCAATGACAATTTTTGTCCTATCACACCAAGGATTCGCACAGATGTCGGACGGATTTCGGCTTGGGGACAGATTGACCGAAGAACTACAATAGGAATAATAGATTCCTTGCTTCCCGTCAACAATGAATTTGTGCATGTTGCCGGACTGTAGTGGCACATCCTTGTACAGAAATTGAGTGCATTGGCTTTCGGATCGTANGTAGACGGAGCACAAGGCTTATGCCATTTTCGGCCGTGGACTGTGCAAGATCGCAACGGAGCTGTTTACACACTCTCCGAATTTGGCCAGTTTTTCCGTACGCATGACATATACACCTGGCCACTGGAGGTCGGTTCGGTCTTGTTTTCTGCCTGTTTGTTTAGCTGCAAAATAAAATCACGGCAGGAAACATGTTTAGCACTAATCTATGAACTGAATTTCGTCCTTTCATGTGCTTGGAACTGTGTGAGCAGCAACGATTTTAAGGCTTCGTACGGTAATTTAGCTGGTGCATCAGGAAAAGCCAAATTCTTTAACACAAAATAGAGATCTCGACTGCCGGCAGTGAGGAGAATAGCTGATTGGTTTTGGGCGCCACCTTTACGAATGCTGCACCATAGTTTGAATCGTTCCACCCATTCTTCATTCTCAGATGGACTGGCCTGCAGATTCAGTTGCTCAATGGTTGGGAGCTCCATCACTTGTAGTAATTGTAGAAATAGTAGTGATAAACATGGAACTCGGAACACGAACCACGCTATACGAATCATGGAACACGAATCAAGGATCAGCTATCACGGATTGTATCACATAACCACTGGCGGAAAATTTAACTCAGCAGTGTGTTTTTGTCTTAGTGAATCATCTGGTACATTTCCAACGCATTTTTTTTGACACGAACCAAACGAGCCCCCTCATTCACAATTTCATCAGACCAACTGATTTTGTTTTAAATTCATTCATCTATTTAGAATTTAGGTTTCAAGCTCGTGATAGCTGTTCAAAAGTGATCAGAAGTTCATTCAATTTTCTATTCATGCTTTACTTGACAGAAGAGAAAATTTTGGTTTTCTGTCATCAAAATTCCATACGAAGGTATATAATACTCCCACGTTTTTCAACTGATACCCAAACCATTGATAAACACTCCCTGTGCATACCATACAAATCTGTTCCTTTCTTATTATTTGTACCACACCATAGTCTTTTACCCGTAAGATAGAAATAAGAAAGAAGAGCATATAAAACAGAGAGGCAGGATGTGATCGTATGGAAGATTTTATTACTGAACTCAACAAATTATATCTTTGTAATCAGCTATTGGCAACACAATTCGATTGATGTCTGGTGGAGATTTCATTTCGCTGGATGATACAGCGGATATTGTTTCTTGGACGATTGGCTGCATCATTATAATATTATAGGAAGCAAATGCAATACGGATCGAATTCACACCGTCACTTTGAAGTGTGTGTGTGTGTTTGTGATAGATGCGATTCCCCATTTTGTATCTGTTTTACCTGTTCTCTAAATAATCCCAGTGTCTGTCTTTTCCAATCGCCTATTCACCGCATTTATTGCCCAGACTTTGATCCACAGTATCTTTCTTCAAGTGAGCATAGTCTGAACGCCTACATATCGATCACTTTGCTCGATTTTTTGTCTACCTGCGTCCCACCCACCCACTCCCCAAGACGTCACCCACCGTTAGTTCATGTTTGATCATGTGACATCATGTAACACACACACACACACATACACACACCCGGACTACCCAAATCGAAATTTGATTGATTGCTACGAGGTCCAATTAGAGCTGCCATCGAATTGTTGACTAGACCGCGTTGGCCTTTGACCGTTCATTGTTCTTCGCTTCCCGTCAAGGAGTTTTAACCCACTCACCCCCCTCTTTTGACTATTTATCTCAATCGTGTTGACCATTTGTACGTTCGATGAATAATCTCCCTGGGCCAAACGTCACGAATTTTATTTTAGTTACAGGTTTGTTTATGATAATACCACTTTAAGTATATAACTCATACTTAGTGAATCCCTTATTCTGAGCCTTGCGCCTAATTAAATTTGGCTCGGGATCCCGACAAATATCTAACACTCCATTTATGTGGAATAAAATGGGTTGAAAGTAACCTAAACTGCTACTCTCGATGCCTGTGAGCGATCTGAGAGAACTGTGGATTTTTAAGCTATGGTCCCATGAGCAACAATGAACATCATTTGTCCAAGCCTCCAAAAGTCTCAGTATGGTCGGGGTTGGGTGTCTAGTGTTGCGGCTGGTCACCCTTCTCTTGCACCTCCCGAAATGCTCCCATACCACCAAGCGTCTCTAATAGCCTCTGCTGAGGAAGCCCTACTCATGGCGGTGTTTTCCCATCAAAGCGAGAGGACGAAAAGCCGAAACCCGGGGCTATAACCGAGTTGGTGAACCACTGGTAGTTAGCCTANCCTAGGGGAGTTGACCGAAAACCCGGATTCCAAGCCAACCATGAGGAGGCGTACGAACCACACACACAACTTTCTAATTGTGGCAGTGGTCACCGGTTCGATTAGAAATTGGTGTTTACTGGGCACCTTGGACGTCTGACCCCGTCCGAAGGGCGTGTGAGCCGTTGGACTGGACACCGGCTCCCAATGGATTGCGGTTTTCACACCACCCCGCTGCCTTACAAATCAGGCTTTCGCCAACCGAAGGCTCCTGTTGTGGATTCCTCAAAAAATTTCACCTGCCTTGGCCTGGGCAACCTGGCAGTATTCAGCCCACATGCAAATCGTGGAACGTATTTTTATGGCGATTATTGTACCGTAATTTGCTTGTCACACAGTCTGTCCTCAGACGTGTTTGAAATATAATATGATATAATACTCACGTAAATGAAGGCAGTGTGGAATGCAGACATGGGTTACGTACCGACCGATTGCTGATCATATTCAAGACGTTTTATACTGAAAACTCTGCCTAACAAACAGGTATTGCTTGCTTTTTCATGCTACAACGTTACTGTGAATAAATAATTGTTTCTCAATGAATCTTTTCATCACCAATCAAAAATAAATTATTTGCACATTCTTCACTCCGGAGAATTCTTACTCCAGCTGATTGCTCACTGAGAACAGCGGATATGTGCGCAGTTGTTGTGCCATGCCATATATAACAAAGCGGAAACATTAGTTTGATCTAACAGACTGCCCGGAATCTCTCTTCTCATAGAGCAAACCGCGTAATTCGAAATGGGGTCATAACAGTATCATTGCGTATTCAATAAAAGGAAACAAAATGAAAATTAAATACAAAACGAAAGAAAAAATAACATGACTTGGAGTTGAGCATCTCGTTTCGCCACTCGAAAGTCATCGTCTCAAGTCCCGAATTAGATAAAGGACATGTGCACTGTTCATTAGTATCACAAGTTCGTTAAAGAATAGTATAGACTGTTCATACAAGACTACGACAAGTTCGATTACTGTCAAAGCTAAGATGAATGTGAACTATTTTTCTATTCGGAACCTTCCTCTCCCGAATGTATATTGTAAACCTGTATCGACATATTCCTTAACCGACTCTCCCCATTCCAGGGTTCTCCTTGGTTGGAGGCTCTATGGGTTTCTCAGACCATGTACTGTGTTCGGTTTGAGTGTTTCAAGTGGCAGACTGAAAATCGTTTTAACTAATCTCGTTTATGCAGGGATTTAATCGAAGACAGACATTATTCTGTAGGTAAATATTAATTTTGATCAAATAATAGGAGAGCTGAGATTAACGTTTCCGGATGCACAAAATGTTTTGTTTGTTATATGAAAATGAGCATTATATTTTCTCCAAATCTTCTACACCACGGATCATGCACAGTTCCATGCGCTTAAAACATTTGGTGAAACAACTCGACCATATAGAAGCGGGTAACACCTCGACCTCTATTGCGCTGTTGGTGACTCGTATCTGATTTCAACTCCGCTTCACATTGGGGAACACAGTGCTTCTTGAAGCCGTGTCATTACCAAAGGCAGCTCACAAATGATCAACACTCTATTGTTGCTTTAAGCCACAGTTGTAGTCGTAGAAATTTGTCGCCCTCTACACTGACATTGACAGAGTTCCATCTTTACGGTCCCAGTATAACGACCCTCGTATGAATTGTGAGCTGTGCTGTCGGCTGTGTTGATGTGTGGTTCTGTGAGTGAGTTGGAAACACTGAACAATGGATTCACAATACGAGATTGGAGTTCATGTTTTCCTCGCCCGATCATCTGCACCTCGCACTCGTCGTGTATCGCGTATCCAAAAACCTTTTCTGCTCAACCCTTGTACACATGCACTACAAAACTAAGTTTATCTCCGCTCTGTCTGACATCTTCGAGCTGCACCACGATTGGACAACCTCATCCAAATCTCCAATGGCCAGTAGAATAATAGGGCGTGTTGTTCTTGTCGACCGGTTGCAATCTCATGCATTTGGGGTTGTCCTCCACCCGTCACTAAACCAGATCGGTGACCATTGATCACTAATAAGAATGAGTTTAGGATTCCGAAGCTCTAAATTTCAATTCATTTTCGGCAAAGAGAATTGTTTTGACAAAAGTGATAACCTTAGAACTATCATAGCACCATTCAAAATAGAAGACAGTATTATCACTCTAATGGGAATGATTTGGCCTAATTTTCTCTTCAGGTGGATCGATATTGAGTAACAGAATGCATTGATATAGATTGTTTTTCAGTAGTGATGATATACAGCGTTGGCCAATCTAGTTGTCTGAGTATAAAAATCCATATACTGTGGTATCCGTTGAAGTTCTCCCATCATCATTCCAAGTTGTCCGAGCATCGTTCTATACGGTCCGATTCACCTCATTCGACTCGCGAAACTCGCTTCATGGTCAAGTCTCGCAGCGATGTCTATAGAAAATCAACGGGCAAACTCAAACTCTTGTTGCAAGGCGGGGGACAAGGTTGTGCTACTTCCCTCGGTCAGACGCCCCAAATCCCATGGCGTATGTCGACCGTCTGTCTGTCAAGTATTCGTACACATTTGTATGTATATGCTTTCCCTACCCAATTTCCTCCTGAAATATCATGCAAAGGCCATCTCCCGCTAGCTTCGGAACTGTTACTGCCAGCCCTTTTGGGTATTTTCGTTGTTGCAGCAACCAAAAGTCACAATTTTTCCGGTTTTGTTTTTCACTCAGAGAATTAACTTCCTCACACTGTCAACCACACAGGCGAAATGTAGGTAGTTAGGAGCTCGGAGGAAATATACCACGTGTAGAAGGTAACAAATGTAAATCACAAAACCATTGCCTCTTAAGTGAGGACCTCATTGTGTGTGTGCTGCTTTCTGCTGATTTACAGCAATATGTGCCATCAAGTTTTGTTTCAGAGTTTTGCGACCTTACGCAGTAAATAGCTTCAGACAAATCGTGATAGTTCTGTGCGTGCAAAAACTTGGTTCTTCATTTATCGTTCATCTGGATCGATCTCATGCGACTTGTGACCCTCAATTTTTTAAGCATCGTACTTGCACATCGATGTTGATAGACTGAAGGTAGTCGGAAGTTGACAACATACACCAATAAAAATTATTTGCTATAAACCAGCATAAAAGCTTTTGTCTTCAAAAGAACCATTCACTGTTTCCTCTGACTGTTGATTCTGGTCAAATAACATAGTCCAAAACTGTATATCACATTCCGCACGAGACAAACTCAGCATAGCGATTATTGATCAGTTTATATTCAAATGTTGTTTAGCCGATTG